TTCCTCCAAATCAGCCTGCCAGCAAAATTGGCGGGCACGCCCACGCAGGGTCCTCAGCTTGTTTGAAACACGCCACTCACGACAAGTTGGCTCCTTTCCCCAACTGATCAGCTGCGATCTGCCGAAGCCTTCAGACATATTATTACCAAGGGCGGTTAGGCCTCAGTCTTGTCGCGTACAAATGAGTACCCATTTCGGCTGACACACACACACACATACATATTGTATTATAGTATAGTATGATATATTGTGTTACATTATATGATATTATATTATACCATATTGGATTAAATTATACTATATGATAACATATGATATTGTTAGTGTTAGTATCATTGACATATACATATATGTATGCACACACGCATAGAGTTTTAAACATGCCTAGACACATGTCTACCAACTTCTATGCTTCGAGTGCCTTTTGGCACTGGAGTTTGAATCTCGCCACTGTGCCCAGGTGCAAGAGAAGCTGCCGTTGGCGCGGAGGTCCCAGCGAGAGCCTTCGCCGGGAGCTCGGAGCTCGGGGTGTGGTTTTGATAAGACGTGGACGCAGAGGGTCAGGGGCCGACGGCCGCCTTTGAGCACGTGTTGGGGTCAAAAAGCAGGATTGGGCTTGGGAAAACCAGGGCCACGGAAGCCATGGTGTTCTTTTTTTAAAGCACATCTTGTGGCGATAGGTTGAACTGTGCAAAGCCCGGCCAAGTTCCAAACTTATATTTGTATGCGTGTTGTTTGGCTGTGGTTTTCGTACCCTGGGCTTGGGCTTGAAGCAAAAGATCAACAGGGTCTCTTACAGGTTACACGTGGGCCGCTTACCGAAATGCCAGCGGGTTGAGAGGATTCGTTAAGCAGGTGGGAGCTCGATATGTATATCATTTCAGGAACCCTGATTGAGGTTCATGGGTTACAACCGACAGCCGTACGCCAGTTGTAAGGTGATTTCAGGTCCTTTGCGCAAAAAATGCTGCCCAAAGACGCATGTTTCAAATGCATTTCCAGGTATGGGCTTTGGAGATGACCGTTTCCTTCTCGCAAGCTTAATCCTTGTTGGCTCAACCTCCACTTCTCCAAAAGGCATTCCTGAACGACACCTTCCCCCCCAACAACAAAAAACACACGCACAAAAATACAAACAAAAAACAATGGACAACCCTCCCCCCCCCCTTCAAAATTTCACAAAACAAGACACATATCTCTGTACCTATTCTTATTGCCTCCCCATTCCATGCCCTTTCTCGCCCCGGGGTCCCAAGCGGACCCGGAACCCGAGCCCCGCGAGGCCCGAGCCAGAGGAGGAGGGCTCGCCCATTGTGGTGCACAGGTGCGGGCGACGGCTCGGGGAGAGGGGCCCCCCAAAATGGCGGGCAAAGAACTCCAAAACAGCCATTAGGTCATACACATTTGCCAGCCATTGGAGGTCCTGGTGGAGATCGTTTCTTTGTTTGGTCCTGGTTTTGTTTTGGGATGACATAGTCGAGCGAGTTATTTTGCTTGGTATGATATGTCTCAGTCTTTGCTACTTCTGTTGTGCATGGTGATGGTGTTGCTTGTGTTGGTTTCGCTTGGCGCTGGGAATGTCTTTGCCGTGACATTGAGGCCCCGCTGCGGGGCATTGAGTCAGTCCATGCCCTTGCCAAACTGGCCATGGACTACTGGATATTCAGTGGGTTCGATCGCTTGCACCAAAGGATGATTTTGCGTGTGCAGAGTCCTAGAACTCATTTGTCAGAACCCATTCAGGATCACCCAAGATATGTCCCAACCTTGGATGTGCTTTTCAGAGTTTCGGTGTGTGGATTCAGTAATGCAACCTGCAAAGGCCAGCCGGAGATATCCAGGCGTGTTGGACATTGTTAGTATGATGTGTTGCGTGGTGGCTGAATATCCACACGCATGATTCCAGCTTCCACATGTGTATCTTGTTGTGCTTAAATATCGATAGCATCAGGTGAAAGTAAGCTACATGATTACATATGCACTGGTGTGAACATCCCATCTAAGATGTGTGTGTGTGTATGAGAGAGGGAGAGAGAACGAGAGAGACAGTACGTACGAGCTTGCGTGTTTGTGCGTTTGTGTTGGTTCGTATGTGTTTGTGTTTGTGTTTGTGTTTGTGTTTGTGTTTGTGTTTGTGTTTGTGTTTGTGTTTGTGTTTGTGTTTGTGTTTGTGTTTGTGTTTGTGTTTGTGTTTGTGTTTGTGTTTGTGTTTGTGTTTGTGTTTGTGTTTGTGTTTGTGTCTGTGTTTGTGTCTGTGTCTGTGTTTGTGTTTGTGTGTGTGTGTGTGTCTGTGTGTCTGTGTCTGTGTGTGTCTGTGTCTGTGTCTGTGTCTGTGTCTGTGTCTGTGTCTGTGTCTGTGTCTGTGTCTGTGTCTGTGTCTGTTTCGGTGTCTGTGTCTGTGTCTGTGTCTGTGTCTTTGTCCGTGTCTTTGTCCGTGTCTGTGTCTTTGTCCGTGTCTTTGTCCGTGTCTGTGTCTGTGTTTGTGTGTGTGTCTGTGTGTGTGTGTCTGTGTTTGCGTGTTTGCGTGTTTGCCTGTTTGCCTGTTTGTGCGTTTGCTTGTGTTTGTGTGTTTGTGTGTTTGTGTGTTTGTGTGCGTTGTCCTTGAGTTTGTGTGTGTGTGTGTGTGCGTGTTGTGTAACCTTTTTCGGAAGCCCGTTTTAGTGGTGAACAACAAGTTGGGCCTTTTGTTGGCCAGTCAACTGGGGAAGTGAGGTGTGCAGCGCGCAATGTGGTGTGTCATTAGCGTGCCACGACTGCTTTTGTGTGAGCACAATATCTCGACACTGAGTGTGTCAGAAAGTGTGAATCAGCTACAGCTGAGTGCCAAGTTGCGTATCCAATGTTGGCTGCAATGACTCAGGCAGGGACCTTTTAATAATACACGAGGGTTCCAGCTTGGAACCTATTCACAGGTCCCCGAGCATGACAACTGGTGCCTCCCGCTCCTCTCGCTTTGCCAAAATTTGCATCCGCAGCAATTTTGGGGCTCAGACCTCCGGTTCCGCCGGTTCCGCACCTTGGCTGCTTTTGCTTGGATCTTCAAGTTGTTTTCCACTTGTGGGGAAGAGACACATTTGGGCTTGTGTCACTATGGTGGACCCCCCTGAAAACGGGGGTTGCCTTTAAAGCCATCCAAAAAGGGGGTGCCCTATGTTGTTCAAGTCTCCGGTAAGTGACATGGGCTCACGCGGCCTCTTGGGCCAATGGCCGAGGCACGATGTCGATGCTTCACGTGCCGTCGCTCCGCTTGCCGGTGAACAAGCATAGCTTGGCGCCGGTTCCGGAGTACCCTGACCACCAGGTCGCCAGGATCGCGTGGCTCGAGCAGTTATCTTCTAGTTGCTTTAGGTTCATTCTCCCTGGTTGTAAAGGGAATCCATGACTACGGAGAATATGGTTTTCTCAGGGCACTTAAGCAAATAAGGTTGGTTGGTTGGTTGGTTGGTTGGTTGGTTGGTTGGTTGGTTGGTTGGTTGGTTGGTTGGTTGGTTGGTTGGTTGGTTGGTTGGTTGGTTGGTTGGTTGGTTGGTTGGTTGGTTGGTTGGTTGGTTGGTTGGTTGGTTGGTTGGTTGGTTGGTTGGTTGGTTGGTTGGTTGGTTGGTTGGTTGGTTGGTTGGTTGGTTGGTTGGTTGGTTGGTTGGTTGGTTGGTTGGTTGGTTGGTTGGTTGGTTGGTTGGTTGGTTGGTTGGTTGGTTGGTTGGTTGGTTGGTTGGTTGGTTGGTTGGTTGGTTGGTTGGTTGGTTGGTTGGTGGTTGGTTGGTTGGTTGGTTGGTTTGGGTTGGTGGGTTTGGGTTGGTGGGTTGGTTGGTTGGGTTGGTGGGTTGGTGGGTTGGTGGGTTGGTGGGTTGGTGGGTTGGTGGGTTGGTGGGTTGGTGGGTTGGTGGGTTGGTGGGTTGGTGGGTTGGTTGGTTGGTTGGTGGGTTGGTGGGTTGGTTGGTTGGTTGGTTGGTTGGTTGGTGGGTTGGTGGGTTGGTTGGTTGGTTGGTTGGTTGGTTCGAAGATACGAGGGGTCTGTTCAGGCGATGATTAATCTACTTGGGAGGCTTTTGCTTTTTTGAGGATGGTCGTTTTCAAGGTTGGTTGAAGGAGGACCAAAAGGGACACCACTCTTTTGTGGTTCCCTTTGACACATACCCAGGTTGTTTCCAAGTTTCAAAGGGGCAGCCGCTCTTGGTTTACGACTCCCGGGTCAACATTGCTTTGTAATTTAGTCACCATGGTCATACGTCCAAGCTCATAGGTCCACGCCCTGTTCCATTTCCTCTTCGTATCCCAAGGGCCACCTATACTGGCTCCCAGGAACAGGCCCACACGCTTCCCAAACAAACAAGTTCGGGCCCCGGTTCTGTTTTGGAGGCTTGGGTGACCATGAAGCTTACCTCCTAAAAACACAGTTTTTCGTAACTTTTCGGGTAACACGGGCTATATGTCTGTACAAGATGAGAACTTCCCCAGGGCGCAGGGAGTCTTAAGGGGTAAGTGAATGTTGCCATTGGCTTGGCCTTGGATTTCGCCCGCTGGACTCGTGAAGGCCTGTTTCGGTATTGACTCAGCCGTTGGTTACCATATTCCAGAAATACCAGAAACCCTCACTAGAAAATGAGGCTCAGATGTCTCGAATTTAAGAGCTTTTGTATATACAGCATACGGCTTTACATACATTAACGTAAATCAACAAATAAATAAATATATATATATATATAAATTGCAGCTCTCGTTGGTTGTGTTATTCGACCAGTATCCCAGTCACCTACTTCGTTGGTGCCGTTGGACATGAGCGGCGAAGAAATCGCATTCCTTGTTTGCTCCGAGTTTTCCACCGAGCAGGTAGAGATTCATGGCTACGTTGGCAACGGGAAAGCTGCAAAACCAACAAACCCCCAAAATTGTGTGGTTCCTTTTGAATTTTCCTGTAAGACTACTCGAAATGGGGGCCGGAATCCCATTTAGAGAAACCCCCCATTTGGTTCCTTGAGCAGCGAAAGCTCTAGGAACTGTGGATGCCGCTGGATTTCACCGCTCTTTGCAAGAGGCTCGGGTAGCTCCAACTAATCGGTGGATTTGGATGGCTTGGGGATGAGAACTCCCTGGTTCTTGTAGGAAACCACCCAAGCTCCACACCAAGGGACCAAGGCTCACGGCGCTTAGAATGCCATTCGTTGCCAGCCAACTTCATAGACTTCAACCCAGGGTTGCAGGATCTCAACATGAAACGAGATAGGACGGCCCCTTGTTCGAGCCCTTCAAGATACATTAAGATTCCTTTGTTTTCTCCCTGGGTGTGGTTTGGTTCCCCCTTGGTGGGTTGAACTGGTGGTTTGGAGGTTTCAAAAGGAGCTGTATCAGGTTCAAATCCCCAACCCAACCCACCAATTCGGGGTCCCTATGTTTTGCCTTGCTTGGGTGGTTTCAACATCACACATTATTTGTTTGATGCAACAACACCGCAACTCATTGGGCTGCGTGGGTTCATCAAAAGGTCCTTTACATCTTGACTGCTATTGGGTTGGATCTTTAGACTTTAACTTTTGGGAAATCAACGGGTTTTCCACTAAACCCGCAACAGTTGAACTTTTTGCAGAGGGGTCAAGAGCAACCAAGACATGGGATGTCTTGAGAGGACTTCATGGGAGACCCCAGAGCCGTCTCCTATCTGTGATGAGCGGCGCGTGCATCCGGTGGTCATGAAGCCCCTAGGCCAAGTTGCGAGTGCTGATGGGGGGAATCCCACTTGCAAAGCGAATCGATGGGAACTGACCTTTGGGCTTTATGTTATAATTTGATACTTGAGGTAAGGCCAAAACGATGCAGAAAGGAAAGGTAAGTCTAATCTAGAATAGGCTCACATCCACTGAGCTTGGAATGCGGAAGGTATTCAGTTGCCACTGGCAGCTCGCTCGAGCACTTGACACTATGTTTGGTCGTCAACTTCTGGTCTTGGCCAGTCAGGGAACCCAGCCTTGCACCCATCCAGCCAGTTTCCCATAGCCTGGGAGCAAAACGCCGTGTCTTGGCCCATGGCTCTCAGCTTGGGGTCCTGGGCTCTGCCAAGGTTCGGGGGCTCGGCGCTGAATGGGCCGGAGCAGGTGGCCACCTGCGTGGAGCTGGTGCGGAAGGCGGAGCGCCGAGCTCCGGAGCTTCGTTTTCAAGCGGGCGGTTCTTGAATTTTTGTTCTAGGTCCCCCAGTAGTGCCGTTTTACCCCTTTTTGGGGGGAGGGTTCCCCTGCTAAAATAGACTGCAGAAAAAAGGGTACCCTTATTCTAACCTCTCCACTGGAGGAGCTAGTATATGAGAACTCGTGCAAAGCATCGGGCAGTCAACGGTTGGATGGATTGGCGGGTGTTTCTTTCTTCACCTTTCTTGGGGTTGGTCTCAAGGAAGAAGCCTGCCACCTTGGTTGACAATCCATAGTTGCCGTTTTATTGAGGCCTAGGGGGACGAATGAAGGAAGCTAGAACCATTCGGAAGGACCGATCCAAATCGTGTAGACATGTTTGCACTAGAAATGCTCACCTAGTAGGTCGAGTTGTGTTTTTATGTTTCTTTTACCGGGCAAGTATATAATATGATAAGTTGCGTTCTACATCACCAAGCATGTTCTTTGTGTAGACCATGTGATTTGGTTGTTCAGCAGATTCAATCGCGACCTCACCTGGTTCTTGTACTGTACCCGCCTGCAAATGAACGGAGCCATTTTTCGGAGGTCCCACTTTGGAGATTCTTCTGGTTCTTATATCTGCAAGTTCACAGGAGGAGCCCCAAAGCGTAACCTCCTTCTTTAGGCGCTTTAAAAGGTACCTTTTTTTCCAGGTTCTTGGTTGCAATATCCGTGACCATGGGTCCCTCCTTCCCTCCTTCCCCCCCCCCCCCATCCCCCATCCCCAGCTGCGTAGGCGCTGGGTGAGCGGCCCATCGTGGTGGTCAGCGCCATGGGCAAAGCCACGGACGCCCTGCTGGAGGCGAGAGGAGCTGCGAGAAGAGCGCTTTGGGGCTTCGTTTTGTTTCTTCCCCCCAGCGGAAGGGTGGTTGGTTTCGTTGAAACATAGAGGGCGATTCCTGGTTTTCTGGTGGTTCCATCATCTACCAGAGCCCTCTATTTTCCAAAAGGATGTTCCCAAGGCGAAGGGTGGAGCCAAGGGGTCGATGCGCCGGACGTGGGATTTGATGTTTTTGGCTGGAGGACCCTCCTGCTTTGGTTTTTGTTCAACACGCTTCTCAGAACTGGGGTCAAGCTAGCACGGCGTCATTGGCTCGGATGCCGTGCATCTGCGTAGTGTCTTTTCCCCCAAAGATGCAGGGTTCCTTTTTAAATGCCAGACCCTCCAATCAGGGTGGGGGTTTATTACTCCTGGGTTCCAAGTTGGGGGGCTGCTCCCTAGACATCCATGTGGACGGCTCGGGTTTGCTTATTTCCATTCCAGATGGGTCTCTTTGTTTCGAGGAAATGCTTAATTTTTTCAGGGGCCCTAAAACGGAATACTCAACTGTTGATATGGCTTCAAACACCACCGACCCAAAGCCAGTCGCCTCCACCCAAAAAAAAATCCGCAGACACCGCCCCGAAAGCCGCAGGCAGGGCGCCGGGCCTTGGAGACTGGCGCAGAAGAGTCGGTCGCCCAGCTGCGGGCCTTCCATGAGGCGGACACCGGAGCCGTGCCGTTCTTCCGTGGCCGGACGCCGTGGTCAGCTGCCCGGTGGGATGTTCCGTGGAAGCCGAAGCCGCACGCTGAACTGCCCGGTGGATGCCGTTGTTGTTTTCTATTTTCTTGTTTTTCCCCTTTTTGTGGGGATGCGGGCCAGCGGCGCCCTGCGTTTTCCCTTCTTCTTCTTATTTTTCTTCTTTTTTTTGTGGGGAAGGGTTTCGATTCCTTCAAAGTCAACTAACCAACAAAAAGGATGCCGATTATTTTGTCCCATAAAATCCACTGGGCATCTGAGCGCAGAAAACAGTCACACAAGAAGAAAAATCAGAAGCGCATTACACCAGCACAGGCCCCAGATAGCGAAACACCGGCGGATTGTTGCAAATCAAGTTTTCTCCTGTTTAGAAGTTAGAACCCCTGAAGCTTGTAGCTATCTGGAGAACAAGCAAAAACTTGGGGCTCCCAGCCATACGGTTGCTTAGCCTTTCAGCTTTTTAGCTGGTTTAGTGGTTAGGCTTCCGTATGGGGATCTCACACAGAGGCACACAAAACACATAAAGACAGACAACACAAAGACACAAAGACAAGGAACCACCCACACACACACACAAACATGCAGAGAGACACAATCACACAAGCATGGGAGCTTGTTTGCCCTTAGCCAAGCGGGTGCGATTCTGCGGCAGTGCAAGCTTTTCATATGTCTATCCAACGACAAGTTTGACGTGGGGGTCAGATCCTTATGGCGGAGCCCAAAAGCAGACCCTTCCATTTGGAACATGTCGGGTCTTTGGCCTGTCAAAGGTTTCCGATTTTCGTTCCCATCTTGTACCATATATCGCCTCTAACCACCAGACGCAAAGAATGGGGACCCTCTTTTTCCAACCGCAGACCTGTTTTGTTCGACCTTCATCTCATCTTTTGATATTTTGGGTCCAAGAAGCAGGCGTGCGGTTCCGGAAATAAAAACCGTGTCCACAGCAAAAAATGGATCACGACTCAAGCCCGCCCGTCATGTTTCCTCGGAGCGCCCTTGCCTCGAAGATCATCTCACAGAGTGCACTACGGGTGTTTGCTGCGTTTGCCCCCGTAAATTACGGGAAAAGAAAAGCCGAAAAGAAAACCACACACGCAATCCAAACAGAAACAAACACAACTGTCTATCAAGATTTGGCTCATGAGGGTAAATGTGGGTAGATATTCCCATGGAGTTTGTGGGAACATGTCCCCTGAGCTCTTCCTTCCCGGTTTGCTCGATTTGGCGACAGGCCATCCTGCAGAAGTTCGGGGTACCTTTCGCTCTGCGGCTTGATTTCGGTTTATTGGGGAGTGCTTCTTGTGCGCAAAGGTGTCCTTTTTGGTTGATTTGGTTGAAAAATAGAGGGCCCTGGTTTACCTGGTGGTTCAATCAACTACCAGGGCCATCTATTTTCCCAAAAAGGACACCTATGCTTGTGAGGCTACCCAACTTGGGTCATTGTTGAAGGGAAATCAAGAAAGAACCATGTTGGGGAGTCCCCTCGCTTGACCAAACACTGTGCTTGTTCAACTGTGGGCCCGGCTGCCAGATGAATGGACTCAGGTTTCGCAACCATGGAATCTTCGGGGGATTCCGTTTAACCTTTGAGGAAGGCGAGAGAGGGCCAGAAGGGTTCTCAGAACCCTTCGACCAAGACCGGCTCTAATGAAACCCCCTACGCAGGAAACCCTTTTAATTGTTTGTTGCATCGCATTTTGCCCAAACAAACGGTACGAGTCCTTTTTATTGTGATGTCTTGTAGGGGATATGAAGGAAACGTTTCTTCCCCGTTAAGCAGTATTAAGGGACTGGCTTGGGTGGGGCTGTTGTTTCTCCTTACATATGAGGTTCGTTTAAAGTTTAAACGATCCAGTGGTCTCTGAAGACTTGCAAGATTTCCCACAAACAAACGGGATGTTCTCCTATTTACCCATGTCGGCATGACACATGGACCGCTGCCCTTGTTCAAAGTTGTTAGCATTCACAAAAAGGTGGTGCAGAATGTTAGTTGTTCCAACATGTTCTCACTTCCTGTGTTCCTGGACTTTAAATAAACTTTTCGGGAAGACCATTTTAATGGCAAACAACATCTTAGACTTTGTTTGACCTTCTTGTAAGCCATGGCTGAAGGGTGCAAGATTTTGTCTTCAAGAAACCGTATGAGGTGCCTATCGGCTGATAGTAGGCACCATGTATTTGGCCCCATTGCCATTTGGAATGAACTAGGGGTTCATACAATACCATGAGTTTGTACCAGGGGTGCACATCATGCGTTCATTACCAGGGGGTCATATTTGGGCTGAGGGGTTGTCAGTTTCATAAAATTGGGCTGATCGTCAAGGGCAGGCATTTTCAGGTATGGGCTTTCGAGGGATGCTCACCAGTTATCAGCTTGTAAAAAGTTTGTCCGCCTCTAGGTTTCGCATAAAACCTCCACACCTCCAAATCCATACCTCCGCACCTCCACCTCCACACCTCCACCTCCACACCTCCACCTCCACACCTCCACCTCGACACCTCCAACATCCACACCTCCAACATCCACCCCAGTGCACCCTCTTCCTGAATCTTGCGGATCTGGGGCGCCAGCCTCGTACGAGGCTGGAGCCGCTCTTCGGGGAGCTGGAGAGGCTGCTGCAAGGCCTGGCGCTGGTGCAGGAGATGTCCGGCGCCTCGACCAATTTGCGCCGCGCGCCGCGTGGAGTGGCGCGTGGGCGTGGCGTGGGGGCTGCGTGGGCTGTGGCGCGGGGGATGCGGGTGGGGCGGGGGTCACTCAAATCCAAAGGACAGCCGTTGAGACGGGAAAGGGGAAGAAAAGGAAAGACCAGGAAATGGTCGGAAGGAGAAGGAAAGGACCGGAAAACGGTTCGGCTAGTTTTTTGTCTTCTTCCTCGCTTCAAACGAGTTCTGGCGACTTTGGCGCGAAGTTTTAGGGACCGAGAAAGAGGCGAACCAAAAGCCAACCAATCCACGGGAGGCCAGAGCTTTATATATATATATATATATATGTACATATAAAGGCTAAACCCAAGCCGCGCTCTTTTGTCCTTTGGCTTGCCTTTTTGCTTTTCTCGCCCGTGAAGCGGACGCCCGTCTTTTCCACAGAAGTTGCGTGTCGAAACCCCGACGCTCGGAGCGAGGGTCGTTTTCTCGGACTTGGGGCTCAAGGGACTCGAAGCCCCCCCGAGTGACACCTGCCGACACCTGCCGGAGCTTCTGGTCCCGAGGAATGATACGGGTCTCTTTTGGGCCCAAGCATTCTGAACGATTCCCTCTGAGAGAACTCCAATAGGACCTGTCTTGCATGACACCCCATCCTTGGGGGCTTACTCGAGGTCCCCGAAAGTCGAAGGCTCTTCCCCGGAATTTGTGGCGATATTTGCGGAACCCTTGGTTGCTCTTTGGTAGCTGAAATGCCCGGTACACTTTTTGGTTGAACATGTGTGTTTTCCTAGCAAGGAGTTAAGCGGTTTTACCCCTGACCGGGGGCTATTGGAACTAGATCCATTTCCTGTGGTATGCAAGGATTCCAATTTTCAAGGTGACAAAGAGTTACAGGGATGGGAGTTCCACTTGGGTATCTTAGAAAAGGTTCTTTTAAGGGTCCAAATCATGAAGCACACACACAGAATTGTCCCCTGATTAAAGTTCCCCAAAAGCTTGTTTAACTCCGTGGGGTGTTGTAGTATCTTGCAGTATGGTTGGTGGACGAACATCTCTGATGTGTCTCATTCACACACCATGGTAATTTGCATGGTGTCCCTTGTTCCCTGCTTTCCAATGTTTAAGTAAATCGACACGAATCTGCATGAATCTATCATGAATCTATACATGAATCTTCATGACTGCGCACCATACAAAGCCTCTATTTTCGCCCTTGCAGCATACCCGCCGTGTCATGGACGCTTGCAGTACATGTCGCAGCCAAGAACCCTAAAACACCAATACCCCAAATGAAGGAGGTTGCTCAAGATAGACCCGAATTCTGTCCATACCGCCGAAACCTTGCCCCACCTCCTCCCCTTCCCCCCCCTTTCCCCACCCACCTCCCCCCCCCTTTCCCCACCCACCCTTCCCCCCCCTCACCCCACCCCCACCCCCCCCCCCCCGGCGTGGTCCCACAGGAAGGAGCCGCGACCTCTTGGTCTCCTTCGGGGAGCGCCTCAGCGCCCGCACCTTTGCCGCGGCCTTCAACGCCTCCAATGCGGAGGCGACGCGCGCGCGTGCGCGCGCCGAGCAGCCGGGGGGCTGCTGGCGACGCGTGGGAAATTGGTCGGGTTCTGTGGTGGAAGGAACCGGAAGGGCGGGGATTCCAACGAAAGGAAACCACAAAAGTGGGATGGTTTTTCTCGGCGTCATTTTCTCTTTTTCCTACTTCAGCACCAGCATGGTTGTACATGCGTCTGTTGTGAGTTTGAGTTGGTACCGGTACCCCTTTTATGTGTTTTATAGGGACACCAACAGGGATTCGTTTTTTCTCGTACCCCCCCCTCCCTTTTTCCCCACATCTTTGTGTGGGGTTCTTACTTTTACCGCTGCGTGCCCGACTCCCGCCGCCCCGTCGCTCTCACTCACTCACACACACACTCACTCACACACACTCACTCACACACACTGACTCACACACTCTCAGTCACACACACTCACTCACTCGCCGTCGCTCTCACTCACTCACTCACACACACTCACTCACTCACTCACTCACTCACTCACTCACTCACTCACTCACTCACTCACTCACTCACTCACTCACTCACTCACTCACTCACTCACTCACTCACTCACTCACTCACTCACTCACTCACTCACTCACTCACTCACTCACTCACTCACTCACTCACCCGCACAAAGTCACACCCGCTCACACACACTCACTCACACACACTCACTCACACACACTCACGCACACACACTCACTCACACACACCCGCTCACACACACACACACACTCACTCACTCACACACACTCACTCACACACACACACTCACTCACACACACTCACTCACACACACTCACGCACACACACTCACTCACACACACCCGCTCACACACACACACACACTCACTCACTCACTCACACACACTCACTCACACACACTCACTCACACACACTCACTCACACACACTCACTCACACACACTCACTCACACACACACACTCACTCACACACACACACTCACTCATGGAGATGCAAGTGCTGCGTTTGTGTGGCAGGGGCAGCATTTCGGTACTTCGTGCACCTGGGCTTGCGTTTGCGTGGCAGGGGCAGCGTTTGGGAGCTGTCTAAAGGGCTGGGATGTTGTGGCGCGCGCGGCTGTGGGCCCCCATCTCGCGTGGCAGGCGCAGGACTTTGGAGATGCAAGTGCTGAAATCGTGGCAGGCGCAGTACTTCGTGCACCTGGGCTTGCGTTTGCGTGGCAGGGGCAGCATTTGGGAGCTGTTTAAAGGGCTGCGCGCGCGGCTGTGGGCCCCCATCTCGCGTGGCAGGCGCCGGACTTTGGAGATGCAAGTGCTGAAAAATTGTGGCAGGCGCAGTACTTCGTGCACCTGGGCTTGCGTTTGTGTGCCAGGGGCAGCATTTGGGAGCTGTTTAAAGGGTGTTGTCGCGCGCGCGGCTGTGGGCCCCCATCTCGCGTGGCAGGCGCAGCACTTTGGAGATGCAAGTGCTGAAGTCGTGGCAGGCGCAGTACTTCGTGCACCTGGGCTTGCGTTCAGGTGCATGCCTTTGTTTTTTTAATGCGTGTCAGGTAATTTTCATTTCATCCTTGAGATTGGAGTTGCAAGTGGGAAGGATATGCAGGCAGTACTTCGTGCACCTGGGCTTGCGTTCAGGTGCATGCCTATGTTTTTAAACTGCGCCAGGCAATTTTCATCCTTGGAGTGGCCCGTTCCCTGGCTCCTTGAAGTGGTCCGAACTCCCAGATGGGTGGCGAGTCACTGTTTGCTGTCGCTCCTGTGAGTACAGAATGTCGGCCAAAGTGCGCCCTTGGTGGGAGTCACATAGACACCTCAAGCTTTGTGGCTGGACACTTTCGAGCGATGCTTATTGGTATTGCCGCGATCACACGCAGCTGCAAGCGTGACTTTCGAAGACAGGCTGCTTGCGCGCCCCACTATTGGGGGGGTGCTTTTACCAGAAGAGCTTGGCGCATGCAAAAAAAAGGCATCTGGCTGCTGACTGATTGTCTATGTCAGGTTGCTTTTACAACCTGCGATCCTCAATCGATGTAAGTGTGGCGCATCTTCATAAGCATAGACATGTGGGGTTGTCCGGTCCTTTAATTGTGGTAAAGGGCAACCAACCGGAAAGTGGAAGCCAACTTTGGGGTCATCATATTCAAGACACACCTAAATGGAGGTATTCATATAGAACAGAGGTGGTAAACCGTATAAACCACAAAAACAGAGGCGGGCAAGTCCTTTTGTCCAGAGGCGTGGGCTGCTTCCTTTATTTCTTTTTTGGGGAAGGTTGGTGGGGCTTCCCTTTAAACATCAAAATGCTAAGAAAAGGTGGCCTTGGTTTTTTTAGTGTCTTTTGCCTTTGCCTTGCAACTCCCACCTTCAGAATATCAAATTAGGGGTGGTCATCCACCTGGTAGTGAGGAACATTAATAATGATTATAGTGAGGTTTGACGGGCAAAATGCCGTGTTGGGGCTTCACCCGAACTGGCGGTGACTGCCATTGATACTGTTCTTGAACATTGCTTGGTTCAGGTTTCGATCCTTCAGCGGCCAATCGGCCTGCTGTGAACCTGCTTTGACCCGCAAGCTCGCTCGGATATAGCTATTCCTGTTATGGGAACCATGACCATAGGCCATACAGGGAGGTTTGACCATGGCACATCTGCAGTGAACTGCTGGACCCTCCATGGCGTGAATTGTGGGCTGGCATCGGTTTGAGTCCAAAACCCGGTGACTCTTGGCTAGGTCCCCCAGAAGAGCCCTTTTACCCTTTGGGAGAAGCAGTTGTGTCATGGTGCTCGGTAACTGAAGTTGTCGTTTGCGCATAACCTGGGCGAGGAGTTTCTGCGCCTTGGAACGAAAAGGCTCGTTGACGAAGACGGAGGGTCGCAGGAAGTAGTAGAGCTGGTTGGGGGAGGGTTTCCCTACGAAAATAGACTACAAAAAAAGCGTACCCTTCTTCTAACCTCTCCTGGCTCGGGAAAACCGATGGTTGGGAAGATTTATCGAGGCCTTGCTTTTTCAGCCTCGTGAAACACGACTGGTAGAGCCACCTACTAACATGGCGGTTTTTGGCGCTGCTCAAGTGTTGACGAAGTTTACTACCCACAACCAAGCTTTCTGTGCCTAATGACTCAGCTGTTTCTGGATGTTGTCTTAGTCAACACACGATCCTTTGCCATTCAAAACCGGTTGTGTTACATCTTTTGTGGCTCACTTTGACGGAGATACCCTCGCATCCACAAACATCCGTACAAACATGGAACCTCACCCGGGGCCCGGGGCCATGGAAGACCATTTTCCTTTACAAGGGACCCCGTAGTGGGTTCCAGGACGGACCGGAGGGTAAATGGTCAACCTTTTTCGGGGCTGACTTCAATTGGTTGCCAAAACCATCTGAACCAGAAGATCGATGTGTGGACGAACGAGTAAACCAGCGGCGATCTTTGGAAGCCCCGACGCGGCAACAGGGCCATAGGTGCTACTACCTGGCAGGGCCTTGCTAGTAGGCCCCACGTAAACCTTTATGACCATGTTGGTAGAACCACGATCTTGGGGCCTGTTTTCTGTTTTTTTTTTTTTTTTTTTTGTGTTGTTGTTGTTGTTTTTTTGTCGAATGCCTTTTTTCCCGGTGGCGCCGAAAACAGATGTGTCCGCGAGCCTCGCGGGTCACGTTTGGCAACCCTGAGGCTTTGATTCCTGCCTCCTGTGTTTTTTTCAAATGGGAGCTGTTTTCAGTGCCTTGTTGTCTTCTTCTGGGCGATGCAGCACCCTTATCCGAAAGGCTGATTGCGGGGTCGCGACAAGTTAAAAGCAACACTATGTTGACTACGACACCGCCGGGCCAAAGCGAAGAGCCGCACGCGTGCGCGCGCATTCTGGGCCAGGGAAACGGCAAGGGCAAGTCTTGGAACCAGAAAACCCGAGTCAATGGGAATTGCGGAACCAACCCGTCCATTTTAGGAGGGGTGTCACTGTCTCCAAGAGTTTTTTTCCGGATTCCCACTAAGGGGACGCCCCCAATCAAAACCAACCAGTTCATAAATCCGGGGTTCAACATTGACACCCCCGCCCTAGGCTTCCTGTCCAGTCTCCCAGAAGCCAGCTTCAGCCACAGGAACCCACATGTTTTCGGGTATTTGGCCTACTGTGGCGGTGGATGGACGAAATCCGTTTCCCACCACCTAAGAAGCCCTGGAAGGATTCGATTCCCCTGTAAATACCAACAAACAATGGGTTCAACCCTGGTTTCAGTTCGTGGTGCGAGAGATGGATCGATTTCGCAACCATGTGGCCTGTGTGTGTTGTTTCTTTGTTGCTCTCTTTGTGGGTGGTGGTATGTGACTCGGCTTCAACCATCCACAGTCGAGCAGACATTCCCCCGGCTTTTGCGGGACCTTCTGAGGGCGTTTTGCGCCTCGCTTGTGTTCAGGGCATCGAGGCTCGCGCCTTGGATGCCTGGGAGGCGCGGAACTAAAGAAGGGAGTGGTGGGTGTGGATGTTTGGAGGGGACCTGGACTAGGTCCCCCCAGTGCCCTTTTACCGTTTCTTTTTTTGGGGGGAGGTTTACCTATTTTTTTGGGGGGGGAGGGAGGGTTCAATCCGCTGATACAAATAGACTACAGGAAAGCCTCTCTACTGGAGGACCTAGTAGAGTCTCCGTGGGGTCCCGACCCCCAAAAAACGAAGGCCGCGGGCCGCGGGCCCATGTTGAAAGGGTCATGGAGACTCCAGGTATCCCTTCTTGGTTGTTTTAAAGGGAAGCTAAAAGGAAAGCCGACGCCATTTTTGGGGTTCAACCTTAAAGAAGACACACCCTCCTGGGTGCGTACTATACTTGCCGCTTCTCAGGGAATGAGGGAATGATGCATGAAGCAAACACATCCCCTGTGGCTTCCTACACATGTTGCCCACAACTCAGGACTGCCCAAAGGATCAGGTAACCCCTACTCGTATCATCGGCAACCAAGTGAAACAATCACGTACAACCTCGAGGTAACATATACATATAATAGTTATGTATATTATATTGTGGCCAAAATTGAAATCTACGTCCAGCATGGCGACCTTGAACATACTTAGAATTGCAAGGTCCTCCAACTAATCCGCCGCTTCATGTCGTTACCCCATAGCTGGATTTCCACGCTGGGCGTGGCTTGCCAGGTTGGCATGAAGACCACCTCCGGGTCCGGCGACGCGGACTCCGCCTATTCCTCGGTGGAGGCGCCTGAGATGTGGCCTTGCCTTTTCATGTGGCTTAGGGAAGCCCAGAGCAGCACCAAGATCCATTTTGCTTGGTGGCTCCCAGCCATCTCCTTAGCTGCTGTTTAGGCTTTGAGTTGGTGATTTTTGGGGGTTTCGGTATGAAAACACGCCTGAAAGTTAGTCACATTTTTGGCAAGGGATCGGGTGGCCCAAAGAAGGCGCGTTCCACGGGGCGTTTCGCTCGAGGTGCTTCCCTCAGCCTACGGAGAGATCAAGCAGAGCTTCGCGGCGCTGAAGCTGTGCTACGACTACGTGCCTGTGGCGCCCGGGCTGAAACTGGCGGGCTTCTGGCTGTGGGTCAAAACCAATGGTATTGGATCCCATTTTGGGGTAGGTGCACCACCCATTTTAGTCTATTTGAGTGGGGTACGTTTTGGATCCCATTTTGGTTGGTATATAGGTGAATTCACCACCCATTTTAGGCTTCCCAATTTAGTGGTTGGATCGGGATGTTCACTGGGGGTACAGGATTTTGACCCATGGCCAACTGGCGACGGAGAGAAGCGCCAAAAGCGGCGGTAGCTACCGTGGTTGGTTGATGGAACCTCCACCACATTTTTGGCGCCATTCAGGAAAATTGTTTGGCGCCCGCCGCAGATTCTGGGAACTCCGAAGAAGTTTGCTTCAGGAACTTATTTGGTGGGGCGACAGGGCTTTGTTTCCTATCTAGACAGTACAGGGCTCCCTCAGTTTCACTTTTTGGGACCTCCAAGAATAGCATTTCCATGGGAACCGAGCAGTGAACTGCAACAGTTGAAGGGGAAATCCGGTGACCCCTTGTAGGTTGCAACTCTCATCTTGGTTGCGTAGGGCATACTGCGGGTTTCGCGGGAAACGTCCCCTTCCCTTAGCCAACGAGTGGAAACCAGGGTGGTCTTGACCGACTACAAGCAGGTTACATCTTTGCTAGTTGCTAAGGGCTGAGCCCCCCGAAATTGTCACGGTTGTAAGTTAAAACCAAAGGAGGTGGCCAGAACATCCAAGTACATTCAATTAGAGTTCTGAGCTTCTTGATTGCGCACTTTCTTGGGAAGACAGTTTCGAAATCAAGCCGTCTTCCTGACTTGGCCAATCCACTCATTGGGAAGGGGCCATGAGATTCAATAGGGACCACCTGAAGACTGAATGCCCCAAAAGGTCCATTGAAATTCACGCGCTGGTCTTTGGACCTTTGCTCCTAAAAACGGCTTTCCCATTGAACCTACAAGAGGTCGATGGGATTTTTGGCTCGTTCGGGCGTGGAGCAAACCGGCCAAGGCTACGTTGTAAGCTTGAGGCTTGAGCATGTCACTTTAATTCACCTACCTAAGCGAATCGACCATTTCGGGTTCCCATTTTCAGTCATGGCAACCCAAAAGTTGATCCTGACTTCCTGGGTTTCCTGAGGAGGATCTGAGTAGTTGGGGGTAGTGTTATGCAACCAAGATGAGATGCCACACATTTTGGGGCTTCCCCCTCTGAGAGAAACCCCGAAATCCACGGGTCCCTTCCTGCAGGGCAATCCAGTCTTCCATTTGCTTAAGCACGTTTGTTTTCCCTTGTTGTCTAGGTCCCCCAGTAGTGCCCTTTTACCCTTTGTTGGGGGGGTTCCCTACTAAAATAGACTACGGAAAAAAATCGGGTACCCTTGTTCTAACCTCTATAGTGGAGGACCTAGTTGTTTTTAAGGGAAGTCTATCACTACTGGAGATATTTCTGTTTCTTTTGCAGGGGGCGAACATTTCCCTTGTCGTTTTTACAGGGAATCTATCACTACTGGAAATAGTTCCTCTTTTTTTTGCAGGGGCCGTTAAAAGTTAAAACGCAATCACTTGTTTTACAGGACATCCATCACCACTGGACATATTTCTTCTTTTGGTGTGTGGGGAGGGGGGGGGGGGGGGCGGAAAAAACAGCAAATTGGGAGCAGTGCCAATCGGCGCACATCGGAGGTGACCGGCTACATCGCCCAGGACGCCCACGGCGCCATCACCACTTTGGGCCGCGACGGGTCGGACCTCACCGCCGCCGTCATCGGGGCCGCCGTGAAAGCCAAGGAGCGATGGGCGCGAAGTCGCGGAGATGGGTTTGGATCAAAACGGGCGGAATCGGAATGGCCCCATGTATAGGGCTCCGAAAAAAAAATCGATACATTTCGCAACCATGTGAAACATATGGCTTTTTCAACACCAAGAGAAAGGGAAGCCACCATTTACAAGTTGCAATGTTCAGGTGTACAATGTAAGGATCCCTGATGTATTAAACATGTACGCAGACAAATATGATTTATGTGAATGTATATACTATCCGTGAGTCTTGTTTGGCTTTCGGCGGAGCGTTTCCTCTCTCAAAGGTGTTCAGGTACCCTTAAGCCACCTCCAAACCAGCAATCCAATCATTTGTGGCGTGTTTGAAGTCTTGAAACCCTTCGCCAAGCATCATTGAACTTCCCATCAGAGAGGTCAGGGTCTCTATTAGAATCCATTGAAGGTTTTCATCTCAAAATAGCAGCTACAATGCTTAGGGTGGGTTTTCTACAAGGAAAGCCACCACTTTGCCATCGGCGAGACTCCGTCAATTCCTTCCAGGTTTTGAGAAGACTTCTGTACCAGGCGTTGATTAGCCAAAGTCACGGCCCCTGAAATTGTGAAGATTCCCCACTAAAAAGGGGACCACCCCGGTCACCCCGGCGTGGCCGCATGGTCCTTTTGATTAAATCCAAACATCCCACCAAACCTCTTATTTTTGCAACAACCTTTGGCTTCCACTTCATTTTGAGTCATCGCCATAGGTTTTGATTGTCACACGCGCGTAACGTGCTCAGTAGACCATTCATGTTCCTGAAAGGAAGCCAAAAGGACATGTGGTGTGTTTCCCTGATCCTTTGTTCCATCCAAGGTTTGATTCCCACTTCTTTTCAGGCATCATTCTTGTTCAAGAGCCGTTTCCCCTGGGCTGGTTTCAAGAATCGGGAGACATAAAGAGAAGAAAGACCCGAAAGAAACCGAAGTTTGACTTGCTGGTTCTCAGCAGGGAATGAAGGAATGTTTCCTGGAAACCGTTCCTGGTGGTTTCCCAGGGGATCGGCTTCCGGTTTGGTCCCAAACCCCCCGAAATCGCTTCCCTGCTGACCGGCTATGAAATTTAAGAATTGGAACCACCTCTTTCCTGGGACCCATTGAAATCGTTGCCGAAATCGAATCGACCTCGAATAACCGGTTCTTTTCCCTTGGTCCGTTTTTTGTGGCCCAGAAGGTGCTCACCTTTTGACTTGTTCAAAGCGAATCGACCTTTTGACCTTTTGGTTTTCCATGTTTGGTTCATTTTTAGCACGGCTCCCAAAAGGGTAACCCTTTTCTATTTCCAGGTCCTTTGGGCAACTGAGGGGGTTGATTCCTAGCTCCTTTCACGAGGAGGTGCAGCTCTGGAAGGACGTGCGTGGCATCCAAAGCATCGACCCCCGCATGGAGCCGCAGGCCAGGCCGGTGGAGGTGCTCACCTTTGAGGCGAACGAGCGATCGATGGGTCGATGGGCGGGTCGATGCGTCGATGCGTCGATGGGCGGGGGGGTGATGCGTTGTGTTTTTGTTTCTTTCTTTTTCTGAGGAACACGGCGCTTTGCGGGGGAAAGGGTGGGGTGGGGGGGGAAAGTGTTTTTTGTTGGTGCTTTTTTTGGGGTGAGTTCCTTGAGAAACCTGTCCCTTGTCTTCCTTGCCCCCATGAAACGAATGGCTCAAGGGGACCCAATTTGTACTGTGACATACCTTAGGTAAACAATGGTGGTGAAGTATGAGCCCCTTTGTTTTAATGGTGGCTTGAACTCCAGGGTCTAAAGTTCCTGAAGAAAACCTGTGGGTCTGTGGTTTTTTGGGTGGTCCCTTTATTGGGTTTGAGAAGCTTGGGTTTGCCACTAATAAACATGGGTTTTGCTGCCAGTACCCTTTTTAGGTTGGTTTGAAGGAAACCCACCAGGAAAACAAAGAACAGACACACCCGCATGGGTTTGCTACCAACAAATGTCTTTGAGGCTCGCTACAGCTTCTTTTGTGGCACAAAGGACGGCCGAGGCAATTTTGGGGTCCAAATTACTGGTGGGCCCAAATTATGGCTTCCCTACCCAAGACATGTTCAAGCAATATTTGGAGGGGGGCGTAGAGTTCACATAAGGAGCTAGATATAGTTTCATCTTATAGGCATGACTTAAGTTGGTTTTATAGTGGAGGAAACTGGTCTTCAGCTTCCATGTTTGCTTTTGGGAGGGCAATAATGCTTCACGTTCAAACACATATTTGGGGGAGGGCTGTGTTTTCTGCCACCAGGTGGGGGTTTGCTTTCCTTCAGTACACCAATAAGACAACCCACTTCCCCTTACGCTTTAGGTACCCTCCAAGAGACATGATTCCCAAAGTATAGAGGGGCCAGTGCACTTCCATGCTTGCAGGGAGGCTGGGCGGGAAAGATACTTGTCGGGATTGAACCGACGGTGATCCCTTAAAGGACACCACTGATGGTTAGGAGATTCCAACTTGCCTGAGACCCAACTGGCCTGAACTAACGCATAGGTGTCCCTTTTAGTCCAGTGATGAGGCAGACGCAAAGATGTCACCAGAAACAAACATCAGAAGGATTCCTGGTGCCTAGTTTCTGATTCAGCCAGCCGGGCTTGGTATTGAGAAGATCCTTGTGAGCAAAGTTGGTTCCTTTTTGTTGGGCCTCGCTTGCTTGAAGCCAGTTATGGCTATCAACATTGTGGTGAATTTAGGCATACAACTGGAACCCACACACACACACACACACCTGAACTACTCCAAGAAAACCACAGGACCACCAAACCACAGAAACCACCAACGGACCTTCGAGGCTTCTTAGGATTTTCCTTTGTGGGTGGGAAAGCTGCCACAAAGAAGTTCCTCAATCCATGAAAGATATACCCTTTCAGACCCTTCAGACCCTAAACCGACTGCGCGCTCGACCCAAAAGCGATGGATCGATCGATGGATCGATCCCCGTTTCGGGGCGCGCGGATGCGCGCGAGGAGGCCGCGGAGCTCTCCGTCTTCGGAGCGCGGGTGGTGCACCCCAGCGCCGTGCTGCCCGCGTGGATGGCCGGCGTGCCCATGTGCGCCGTGGGCGCACGGGTGGGGTGGGGGTGGGGTGGGGGTGGGGTGGATGGGGTGGATGGGGGGGGTGGATGGGGGGGGGAAGAAGATTCTAAGGGTTGAGTCCTTTTTTTGTTTCTTCTTCTTCTCCAACCATGGTTCTTTCACCGAAAACCGGATCCGTTTCAAGTGGGTTTCCGGAGGATCCCTGGAAAGAATGGGGAAGGTAGCACTAGAAAGATGGGCTTGAGCGGGGCGAAGGAGGGGATGCAAGGAATTGCCGGGGGAGGTAGATCTGAATGTGAATTGGAACCCGTTGGTTGGCATCAGCGTGGAGATGTTGGTCAATCGAGCATGTTTGACAAGATTCGTCACTACTCATGCTAGCTATTGTTTTTTCGCGACTTGGCTGATTTGAGAAGATTCGGGTTTGGACTCGTGGGTGAGTTTTATTATGATTCACCCAGCAGATTGCCTGCTTTTGGGTGTGCACATGCAATCACAATTCCTAGAATTACAAAAGGCATCCCTGTAGGGGACCCCCGCCGTATGACTGAGGACACATTGGCCGCCAACTCTTCACTTCCATATTAGATTCAGCCAGTTGAACATGGTTCCGACCAGATTAGGCTGGCCCGGAAAGCTTTGCTCAAAATGAGGGACCTTAAAAAAGACCAGTTAGTTGTCTTTTGATAAGCCCCAAACCCCAAACGTCCGACCCTTTTCCCCGGACTCCCCCCGCCAGCGCGCCATGGGGCCGTCGGTCCATCGAGGCATCCGCAGCTTCCTGGCCCCGGACTTTCCGGGCACCCGCATCGTGCGGGACCTGGAGCTTCCACGCCCTGGGCAGGTGGCGGCCATCAGCAGCCCCTCAGCCGAAATCACGCGGGCTGGGCGGCGTGGATGTGGAGGGGTCAGAGGGGGCACCCCGGAAGAGTGGGTTGGGGGGTTGATGGGTTGGTGGGAGCCCCTCATCCATGAATTTGGAGTGGGGTGGACATGAATCCCGAAAGGATGTTCACTAAGTGGTCTCCCGGACAAACAGAATCCCTGCCAGGTAAGCAGGACATCACCATGATCGTGGTAAAGAGCAGCCGGATGCTGGGGCAGCATGGTTTCCTGGCGCACGTCTTTCAGCTCTTCCATAAGTATCAGGCGGGGCAGGTTCCAGGCTTCATTCTCGGCCCTCGTGGCTGATCATTTGGAAACCAAATGGCTTTTTGCACCAGGTGATCGACCCTTTGGGGCCATCCGCCTTTTCTCCGCCAGATACGATTTTGAACAAGATGGAATTGCAGAGTCGCTTGTTGCATCACCTTTGGTCCCTTTTGCTTTGTTGGGTTCCTGCCTTTTCCCTGAGCAGCAAACAACAGGTCAACTTTGCGTCAAGAAAGGCGAGGCCGTCGTGCAAGTTCGCTGTCGAACTTCCGACCCGTGCGTCATTGGTTTTCAAGCGCTGCTGTCACTTTGCGATGATCGACTAGGGTTTCGGTACGTGAAGGTGAAACTCTCCTTACAGAGGAACCTCGCTCAGGGTGCATCTTAAACTCCCCTGTCGCATGAATTTGGATTTTCCAAGCCACAGAATAGCTCGTCCCATCAAGCTCGGTTTCTTGGTTTCGCTACCAGAAAAGGGGCACCCTTCAACACAGACAACTCCATAGGGCTGTTTCGGCTGCCCTGTTGGAGGTTCTACGAGGAAACCAAGAGGAAGCCAAAGGAACCAATCGCCACGGGTTCTCAAGTTTGAGACACACCCATGTGTGTGTGTGTGTGTTTGTGTGTGTGTTTGTGTTTGTGTGTGTGCTTTGAGGGTTCCCTTGTTGGGGTTGGGTTAAAGGGAGGCAAGAGGAACACCCCAATTTTAGGTTCCCTTTGTAGGGTTGCTTTAAAGGGAGACAACAGGAAAACTGATTTTTTTATGGCCAATCTTGACGCAAGACTGGGTGCAGGTCATCTTTGGAGCTTTGTCAGTCCCCCTGCTTGCGAGGCCTCGGTGGATGTGATCACGACCTCAGAGGTGACGGTGTCGATGAGTCTCAGCGTCGGACGTGTGGACCTGAAACGAAGATCGTGGCTGTTCCTTTCGGCGTCCCTAAAAAGGACACCCTGACAAGCGTAGCCTCAAAGAACAGACATCCACATGGTTGCGGGGAAGTTGGGTTTGGGGTTGCCACTTTTTGTGATACTGATGGATCTTTTTCAAAGTGACGAAGTGGTTATGGGCGCAAGAAATGGTAATTTCCGCAAGCAGAGACACCGGTATCCCCCCGGTTGCAGAGGCGCTAAGTGTGTGTGTGTGTGTGTGTGCGTATATGCGTGTGTGCCGGACATGGCGTCACTTTAGGCCAGTTTGGTTATGGGCCGTGGTTTTTGGTTTGATTGAACCCGAAGAATCATTGGCCTCGGGACTGGGAAGGGACCTCCATTGGAAGGGCAAAAGGATCTCACAAAGGACCCGTTTGAAGGTGCGAAAATAGTTGGGCCTGGCTCAGTTTGCTTCCAATATCTTCCAATCATTTTCTAGTCTTCCAGTGCCATCACTTTTCTTTCTTTAACAGGCGCCTAGGCCTGGTCTGCAAAACTCGTGCTTATCCAGACCTTAGAAGCGAAATTGTGGGGGAGGGGTAAATTCCCGCTGAAAATAAATTTATGGTCCAAACGCCCCTCTGCAGGAAGGATAGATGTTGGTTGGGGACGCCTGTTTTCTTCTTTGACTGTACTTGTTTGACAATGACTGCTTCTTTCGCTCGCAGGCAAAACGTTTAACTGTGTTCCGGGGTGAAAGACAACCAGAAGAATGGGGACCTTGCTTTTCCTCTCACCTCCGGTTGCAGTTTGTTCCTTTGGGCCTATGGTTCCACATGGAAACAGCCGCAAGTTGGACTTTTGGAGCCAATCCACTCAAGCGAGGTCGCGGCACGGGGACAAGTCGAGGTGCATGTTGAAGATGCTGCTTGATTTGTGCGACCTCCCAATGGCTGTTTTGGGGTTATTTGCCAGCCATTGCGGGGTCCTGGTGCATGTGCTTATTTTGGAGTTTGCCTCAAGATCCAAAGGCGGGTCAAAGCTCAGGATCTCGTTTGAAAGGGTCGAGAAATGATTTCCTGAGCAACCCTCAAGACCTTCACACTTCTTCTCATTTACGGGTGTTCAGAAATAATCTGTGGCCCGATTGATGGTGAGTAGAAGGTTTCAAAGGGTCCAAACAGGAATCGAATGAACCCTCGGTTTGCTCAGCCACTAGATGTTGCACCAAAAGTTACCTCACAAGTCAATATGCACCCAACGTCACCAACAGTTCACACCGACTATCACATACATATATATATATAGATAATATTTGTATTCATGTACGTATTATCTACATATATATATATATATGTATATATGTACATATGGTGTATATATATAGACATACTCAGGACCCTGGACGAGCACTACGGGCACGTGGACCTCGATGGGCTCGTAGAGGAGCTCCGCAAGGCGAGACATCGATCGTCTCATTCGTTGTTTCCTGAACTTGAGAAACCGATCTGAAAGCTCAATGTGAAACCGATTTCAGGAAAGTTCCCCCTTGGGACTTTTTCACACGCGAGCTTTCGGTTTTTGCAGTTTGGTTGAAAAAGATCTGAAGCCGAGGAACTTCCAAACAGGTTAAATAGAATCCGAGGAACTCCTCTTGGACTCCAAAAAGGAACTGGAACTTGAATCCGAGGACTCTAAATCTAGAGGAACGCCGAAATGGCACTGTCCAACAGGGCTCGGCATGAAACCTGCTTAGGGAGCATTCATTACGCGGGGGAAACGAGTGCCTTCAAAAGGAGACATGGTTAAACCTGGGCTCAAGATGTCCCACTCGGGCTGATCTGAGAATATACCTCGGAGTTGGGCCAGGAGCTCACCAGTGTCCATCATAGCCATTCTAGCTTAATGCGAGACCTGTTTGAAGCCTGAATAGGTCTTGGTGCCATGCTCTCTTTCCAAGAATCATGAAAAGGGACAGGGCTTCAGAAGACTCGCATCACAACAGTCTGCACCAGGCCGCTGCGCCTCCGTGTGTATTATTTGAAGGGTCTCCTCGCGCAGTCATGCCCGGTCTTCGGTGGAGCCGAATCGCCCTTTAGATCTTTGGGACACTTTTAGATTTTCCGTTAAGCCTGCAGAAGGTATGGTTTGTCTCCAAAAAGGAAAGGCCGCAAAATTGTGTCGCTGTGTGTGTGTTCCCTTCCTATACCTTTGAGACAGCCCCAGCAAGGGTTGCTACCTTCTCTTTGGTGCTTTTTGCTTGGATGTTGGGACTTTAACTTTTGTCAACTAGTGGGCTTTCAATTAAACCACTAAAAGTTTTGCTTTCTGCAGGGGAGCAGAAAGCAACCGAGTTCTGTTCCCTGACCCAGCTTGGGAAGTCTCCACTTCCTTTTCGGCAGGTGGCGTACGTCACGGTGCACCCGAGCATGGCTTTGCTGACATTGATCGCTAGCAAGGACCAAGCCGAGGGTCTCGGCGTTGCCAACAGGATCTCCAGTCCTTTTCCACTGCCAATGGAACAAATTCCAAATGGGTGTGGCTCAAAGTTAAACAGGAGGGGCAAACCACAGGTCTTGGCCACCATTTTTCCACTTACCAACTGCAACCCATGTTGGAATTCCGGGTTTTTTTGAGCCACAGACCAACTGCAACCTTTTGAGTGGGACATCAAATGCGACCCCCTGGGCCTTTGGAAGCCTTTCGGTGGGCCTCAACCCGCGGTTGAAAGGGCCAGCTTCCTCCCAAAATGGGCTCCGAATTTTTTTTCCGGGGCGACTGGGACAACTGGCTTTGTGTCTGCTTTTGGAGCATGAATCCTTGCTTCCCCTCAATTTGTTGAGTGGTTGAGTTCCTGGAAGGATTGCTCTCGTTGTGGTGTTTCACTTTTCGCTTTTCGCGAAGTCAGGGAAGTACAGAGTCGCCCCTAAGTAATGGGACGTTATGTATGAACCGGCGCAGGATTTGTTTAAGAACTGGGCACTGCTGGGTGTTGCGATCTTAGACATGCGGTTGGGGGGGACGGGGGAGAAGAAGCTCAAACCAGGGCACCTGAAAACATCTATATATATATATATATAATAATACATATATATATATATATAGAAAGCAACTCGGTTCGCAAGTCACAAGGATCGTTAATGAAAAAATCACATCCCTTGTTGAGTGACAAAGTCACAAAGAATGGGAATTGGCCATGGAACTGAGACAAAGCATTTGTTTTGCAGCCATGCTTGCAACTATAGGTTGCAATTAACCGCAGGGAAACCATCATGTAGAATCTGCTTCGGTTGGCGGGAGCTGCCAGTTCGTGGAATTGATTACTTTCAACAGATAAAACGTTTCCTAAGAATGGGTTGGAGGTCCTGGCTCTTCTCTTCGAGGTTCCCAGCCATGCGTTTCCTTAGTTTCTTTGTTAGCTTTTTAGTTTTCCGTGGTATTTTCCGTATTTAAGCCCCCAAAAGTTAGGCACTTTTGGCAGGGGATCAGAAAACGGACAGCCCAGTTCCGGACTTGCCTTTTGTTACCTCAGGATGACTCTGTGGCTGTGCTGCGGCGAGCTTTTGACATCTTCGACGACTTGAGCGTGCAGGCGGTTACAACCGCAACTGGGTCTTCGGTTCGCCAAGTTAGGAAGTTGTTGGGAACCTAGCGGTTACAACCCACTTATAGTGGGGTTCGCCCAGTTATTGATTGGTTATAACCCAGTTATTGATTGGTTATAACCCAGGTGGCTAGCCACTTGCAAACTTGGCCGAACATCCAAGTCGTGACTGGCCAATGGTTTTCATGGCAGGAATGGTTTTCATGGCAGGTTTTTGGTGTGACCGAATCGCCTCAGGGAGATCTTTTGGCAACAGATGGGTATGGGCCAAAATTAAACCATCAGGGGACCGCATGTTTTAGTCTTTGGCTCCATTTACCAGGGTTCCATTTTGGGTACGTATTTTTGACCCACAGCCACATCGTTTTCCATATTAAACCTGCTTGAAAAGGTGATGGACCTTTTGCTCAAGGGGGAAGAGCAAACCTGTTTTTGAGGGCTTCGCAAATATACTTTCGTGAGGTTCCCTTTGAATCGGACCCACAAAACAGTTTTGAGGATGTCTTGCTAAATGGACCCAATTCGGTGGCACACGCCTTTTGAGAAAACCTCTTTGGTTTGATGCGCAGGATCTGTACATATATACAGACAGATACTATGTATTAGTCTGTGTATATATATATATATGGTTTGTAGAAAGGTGAAGACCAAGCTAGTTCGTCCTCCGTTCTTCCTCTGTTTTTTTTTGGGGGAGGGGGTGGGGCTGTGCAGTAAACCAAGACGTTGGGCTTTTGAGCGTCATGGCCTTTGCGCCCGTTTCCTCGATCCGACACCGTGAGAGGTGTTCAGTGGCGCATTTTCTATTTTCCATGGGCCAACTTACGTGAAATGGGCATACCCCAGAGGCCTTAGGGATGGTTTTTGGTTGGCACCCTGTACCCAAAAAAACGCTGATTTGTTGGTTGGTACGTCCATTTAGTTGGTATGCAACTTGGCCCATGTTCCAATGGACTGTCTCTCAGGTGCCCCCTCCGCAGCCTCTCAGGGATGAAACCCTCAGCCTCAGCCCAACCCAGACAAACCACCCTCAATGCAAAGCAACCCTCTGCCTTAGCTTTTGAATTGATACGACACTAGCCCTCCTGAACCAACCTAACTGAACCGACTTCAAACCAATCCAAAACCCACTTAACACCTACGAACCCCACGCTAAACCAACCCTAAACAAGCCCTAAATCCACCATATACCAGCCCTCAACCCACCCTAAACCCACTCTGCTGGTTTTGCAAAAGATGCCAGTATTGTTGATGATGGTTGAACGTACAGCATGTTGGCATTCCCGGAGAAAAGCAACAACATCTCCCGAAACAAAACAACACAAAACCTTAATTAAGTCTGCATCCTCCCTCATTTCAGTGTGCGAATGATTGTATTTTATTTTCTTTCCGTAGTTTCCGGACTTTAAGCGTGTGAAGATCATACGCCAAGTCCGACTTTTTCTGGCAACATCACTCAACAGAGGCCCAGTTTGGCTGCAAGAGGCGTTCAGAAGATTAAAACCGCAGGGGTAGAGCAAATGTTTGTTCCTTTGGTTTCCCTTGGGCCAATCAACATTCCATCATTGTGATCTGCTTTTTTTTTCCCAGCAAGAAGTTAAAGGTTCGGTGGTCCCCTAGAGAAGTGGCGGAGATTCGCCACTTTGATTGCGATGGTTCTTGGGGCTCAGTGGGGTCTTTGGGTCTTTGGCGTCTGTGTTGCAACTTGGCCCTCAGAACCCCAAGCCAGGGTCCATTGTTTTTGACAAAGATTCCTCTGATCTTGGCTAACCCAGCAAACGCAAGTGTTCCCCATTGTTCAGTGTCTCAACTCCTGGAGGCTTCTGGGAAAACCATTTAAGTAGCGACCCCGGACCTAGAAGCCGTCCTATGAAGCCGTGTTCCCTCCCAAAGTGATAAACCTTTCACTAAAAGGGGACCCCCCCTAGTAATCAACCGAGTTGAGCAATCGGGGTTTCCGTTAAGACAAATCGGGCCAATGCACTCGAGCCGCTCGCCCAAGCTGCGCCGCAAACAAGCGTTAGCGGAGGTGGAGATGGTTTCGCAGGGCGCGTCCAACGTGAACTTGACCTTTCTGTTGCCCGGGCACCAACTGGAGCGAACCGCCAGGCGGTGCCGGCGATTCAATGTGAAAGGAAGGGGTTTCTTACAGCATACATTTGGCTGTGGGTCAAAATCCAACCACCAGGGGACCGCAGGTTTTGGTCTTTGGTTCCATTTACCAGGGTTCCAGCTTTGGCACGCATTTTTGACCCACAGCCATTTGAGGCCAGAAAGCCACCGCCCCTTCACCAGCTGATTTCGACGATCCGAATCCTTGCAAAGCAGCTGGTGTTGGATGTATCCTTTACGGAAAGGTTTAGGGGTTTGGGTTTATGGGTTGGGTTGTGTAACACACCAGGAGCAACGGGAGACTTTCCATAATGAGGTTCTTTGTAAAGAGACATACCCAATGCTGGGGCAGACGGGAAGGCCACAGGGTCAACCTTCGTATGACCCAGCACTTATAAGCGCTGACTTGGCTGTATGTCCATTGATGTACCTTCCCACCGAGCATGGAAGGGAAAATGGTACGCCAGGGACCTCCAGTGCGTAGGCCCCCCCTATTCTGTTCAGGGATTTGTGTATGTTGTTTTTCAGACACTTGACGCAAATCTGTGGTTTCTTAGCACGCTGAATAGGGCATCAACTTCACCCAGTGATTGCATGTTGCAAAGGATTGAAAGCCAAATGGCAAGCCCTGCGCAGGTAAGTTACAAAACGCTTGGACAACAGGGAGAATGGCTGGCTTATACTTCCATTTGCTTAAGTTGTTATTATTTTCCCGTGTTGGTTTTAAAGGGAGTCTATCACTATTGGAAATAATACAAAAAAAGAAAGAAAAGAAAACAACGACAAAAACAGGGGTCTTAACCAAATGGAGGTATAGCGGCTTGCTGGGATTTGGGTTAGATGTGGGTTGCAACCGAGCTCTCTCTCGCCCTGCGAGGCAGCTGCACGCGGTCTTCTTCGAAGAGGGCAAGCCGCAGGGCGCCGTCACCCCGGGCTCCACTGCTGGCTCCTTTACCAGCCGGAGCCGATCTTCCGAGGAGCAGCTTGGGTACCAAGCAGCTTGGGTATGGCTTTGACAAGAACCTTTGTTAAGGAACCCAAACACAGGACGTGGAAAAGAGGATTGTGAAACTTTGGGGCCCAAACAAACGGGTGTCCGGTCATTATTCCTTGGGTGAGATGATAGTATTTGAGCACTTTTGAGTTGCATGAAGCTTGATGGGGTTGTGTGGTGACAGGTGCAGTTCAGAGGCAGCAAGGATTAGTCCTTTGTTCCCGTATTGGTTTGCGTGGGAGGCTAGGATGCGATCCGTGAAAGCATTCCTAGTGTTTTTGTTTGAAGACACGTTGTTCCCGGACAGCGACAATCCCAGGTTTCTCCCGAGGGTACACACCAAATGAGTACAGGGATAAGGGAGGAGTTGTTTGCCCAGCGGCTGGTTTCCCAGTCGAGCCAACCAATAGCACCCCGCTGCTCGTTGCTTTCCTTCTAAACTAATCAAAACCTTCTGTGAATTGTTGTGTTCGTTGCCCATGAACACATACAGTAATTTGCTTGGGTGAATATCGCCAACTAACCTCTTGTTGCGTGGTTGTGTTTATATATCCTTTTGTTTAAAGCGAAACAACTATGCTTTTCATTGTTGGCGCCTATAATTTCAGCCACCGGAAGCTCTTGTTTTTTTTCTCCCGTGGGTGTTCCTTTGATATCAACCAGCAAAGCCTTCAGTCTTCTTTTTTAGTTTGAGTTGTTTTTGTTGAGCATCCAACAGAAAAAGGCAAGTTCCTCTATCTCATGGACTGTCTCTGGGCAATTAAGGTAGCCGCCCAGCTGAGCGGTAAGCAGCCGCTTACCAACACGAGCCGATCGGGTCAGCGGAAGGGTTGGGCTGGCAAAATATTTTCGAAGACATGCACATCTCAATCATGCCTTGTGTAGGAACCAAAAGAAGTGATCGTGACAAGTTGCCTTCAAAGAGGCAGCAACAAGTGGATGTTTCTTTAAAGAGGGGAACCCGTTTCACAAATCTTGTTCAAATTATAACCACCCCGAAAAGGGGTAGTCTAAGAAAGACACACACACACACCCAAGTGATGTGAAAAAAAACAAATGGCAACAAATATACTGATAGAAAGGTGGAGTTGCGGCCCAACCCTTGACAGCACCGATCAAGCTTTTGAGCCCTCCAGATCCTCAAGAGAGCCAATCTCGATAGATAACTCGCATTCAATTTCTCCTGAAACCACAACTGGATCATTTGGGTGCGAGCCACCCATGTGGTTTTCCCATCGCAAACCCTGGAGGTGCAACGCCCCCAAAACGGGGAGCCTAGAGCTTCCTTTTGGCAAGCACCAAGAGGAATCCAAGTCGGATGCTTTTGGACAGGGCAGACATTTCGTAGAATGGAGCCCATGGCAACGTTCAAAGGGGCCCTCTATATTGATATCCCCACCACGGGAAAAAACACAGTGTGTAAGCGTACTTGCATGTCAATCCACTCACAAAGTATATTGGTTTATTGCTGTAAAAGGAGCTTACCCCAATTACCCTATCATCACCATGGACCACGCATTTTTGGCTTCTCGAGTAATTGCAGCCCCATTTCGGGGAGAGTTTTCATTGGAACACACTCACCAAAGCCGAATGCCAAGATTTCTTTGATGCTTTTGACGTTTCCCGTCGTGCCCCCTGAGCGCGCCCATTTTCCCCTAACAAACTCGCTTCGGGCGACGAACGGGCCCTTTTTAGCTCCAAACAAGAGAGAAAGCGAAGGTCGTGTCTCAATGCATACAAGCAGCTCTCTTTCAGCAAACGGGTTCATTCGGATCCCTGGCGATTCAAACACGTGTTTTTCAGGAAGCTCTGATGAACCCTAGTTAAATATCAAGATCTCTGACTCCAGCACTTAATACATGCGGTCTTTGTTTTCGGCTTGATTGAGTTGTTTGACCTTGGTGGCTTCCAGTCATCCGGTTCCTTAGCTTTTTTTTTAAGGTTCAGTGGTTGGATTTCCATTTCACCCACTCAAAGTTGAGCTTTGGACTTGAGGGCAGCCCGGTTCCATGAAGCAGTTGCCTGCCCGAATTTGTCGCATGCACGGGACGAACCTTTTCCTGAATTCGCTTCGGCCGGCTAGCGGCAAGCCGAAAGGAGGAGCCGATGAACTTGGCAAAACAGGGCAAGATGATTGAAACACCAGGCGGCAACTTGGGCTCATAGGTGTCCTGTTTGTTTGTTTTGGTCGGAAAATAGATGGCGATTCCTGGTTTACCTGGAGGTTTAATCATCTACCAGGGCCATCTATTTGTACTAAAAGGACACCTATGGTTGGGCCTGGTCTCCCGTGTCTTAGCTTTTGGGTTGGATCTGTCACTTGCAGGATTCTAAAAGGAACAGTTTGGGAGGGTATCTAGTCTTATCGATTGTATCAATGCAAACTCCGGTTTATTGCGTTTGCCCTCGCGAGCCCAGGAACAGATGTTGAAATGGCACGCCCCGGCAATTTCGGCAATGTTGATTTGTCACTAGCATTTTCGGCAGAGTGCGTGTGTGTGTGTTTAATTCGGAGAAGGTTAGATTGGTTTGATGAACATACATGTCAAGTTGGTATATGAGTGATGAGTCTACTATTGACTTGGGCGTTCGAACATTTGGGTCGTATTTCCCAATGTGGAAAGTGCGGGCCATCACGGGCCATCTCACATTTTCCGTTGTTTTGGGGTATGCAATATCACCCAGATCTTCAGCAAACAATCTGGAATCCACGATTTCAAGCAGAGAAGCTGTTAACAGTGTTGAGAGTCTCACTGCAAAGTGAACAGGAACTCTTTCCAAAGGGAACGCAGTCCAAATGGGCTTTGACACACCATGTTTGTTGGGTAAGAGTGCCGAGCAAATCAGGGGATATATTTTCAAAATGAGGCTAGGGTTGCAAGAGAAGCGAGTTTAGTTTTTGATGGGAGTCGTTGGTTTTTTGGGGTCAAAAGGCGGGGGTCGTGGCTCTGAAAATCTTTGAAATGGAGAGTAGTTTTGTTCAGCGCGAAGGACCCCAATTCAGAGAGGAAAGCAATACATGCGTCAACCCTAAGAATCCTCTGACTCCGACAAACTGAGCTTTTGGGCTTCCAACTTCCAATTCAGATGTGTCATGCTTGAGCTTCGTGTTCCTCCAGGCGGGGCGTTTGGACTTTTGGGCGTCGAAAGGCGCCCCAATTGGCAAACGCGGCTTTGTTTTTGTAAAGTGCACGGCGCCTGTGCGCCGCGAAATGCAAATCTGCAAATCCGCCGCTTGGCTTAGCGTGACGCGCTGCAACATGAAGTGGCTGTCCATTTCCGGCCGCCCTAAAGGTTGGTTGCCATTGCTTTTGGGCGCCTCAAAACTTGCTGTTTTGGTTGTCTTTTCCTTAGAGCACCAGGCCAAACTAAACACTTTGTTGCTGTGCTGCTTATCGAAAGTTGGGGGCTGTCATGTCCCGCAAGGCCCTTTTCGGACTGCCAAACCTTGGAGAGGCCACAACCTTAGGGCGAGAACTTCCTCCAACCGGTCACAGAGATTGACCGGTGATTCTTATGAGGCCGGCCGCGGGAGACTCTTAAGGCCGACGGCCGCTTGAGCCAGCGGAAAAACAAAAAGCGAGCGCCAGCTGGATACCGAGTCCTTGAACATGTTGGGTTTGGAACCCGCTGGGGTTTTAGGCCCGACTTCTCGCAAGTCTCTTTTTGATTTCAGCGTCCATCCTAAAATTACCCCCACGGGAAAATAGCGTGGTGTTGTTTTGACCATTGCGGATCCTTTCCCCGTGTAATACAAGATCCTTAGATGACATTTTCCGCAGCCCCGTCCGAACTAGCAAGGCCCTGACAAAGTATCCAAACTTGGCGCTAGTGGTCTGGGCAAATTGGGGGTGCGTGAAGGTTTTGGTTGACACAGGCTCCTTGCATAGTTGGCGAACTTCGGGTTTCACCCAGATCGATTGAACAGATACAAACAACATCCTTTAAAACGGAGCACACCAAAAGGGACCCAAGCCTTTAGTGGCGCTCCGAGTTTTTGTTTTTTGTTCGCACCTTGTGGTGAGAGTCTCCAACCTATTGGCTCCAGTTGGCCACCAGTGAAGAAGCTTTCCAGCCTGGCTTCTCCCCTGTGAAATAAAACTGGGCACACACCAGGACCTTTCAATGGCTGGCAAATAACCCCAAAACAGCCATTGGGAGGTCACTGAGACCATTTGCCAGCCATTGGGTCCATGCACAGGGCTCTTTTTTTGAACTGCAGAGTGTGCCAGGCACTTTCATCACCACTACCATCATCACTACGCGGCCTTGCAGCATTCAGCCTCGGAGTTTCCCGCCTGTCGCCATAGATTCCCATGTATCAGGCAGAGGTCTGGAATATCAAGTATCGGGGTTTTCAATTCTCAACATCATAGGTGTCCTTTTTAGGTTAGCTTGGTTAAACATAGAAGGCACTGGTTTAGATGGGTTTTATTCCATGTACCAGGGTCATGTTTTTTCCAAAAGGACACCTATGCTCAACATGGTGTCAATTCGGGGGCCCCCTCTGGTTTTTCGCATAGCTCAGCCGCGAATTGTCGGGCTTGGAGGGCTCTAGACGGGTGAGCCGACATGTGGGGGGTGTCTGGTTCTTTCTGCGGGGAGGACCCGTGAATTTTTGGTGGTGAAAAAAAGGGAGACCAATAGGAAAGCAACAATACGCAGCGTGGTTGCCCTGTTTTCACCTTGACCCAGTATTGTGCCACAAATCGCAGATATGGCCCGGCTGTGTCTTAGAATGAGGGACCCCCCCCCAACAAGAAAGCAACCCACAAAGGGTAGCATCAAAAGGTGTTGTTTGTGGGTGTCCCCCGGAGCCAAAATTTCTGGACAGCTCTGTCCGGGGCCGCTCGTCGAGTGAGGTGGTAGAGGGCGACGGAGTTGGCGGCGAGCAGTTCGAGGACTGGGGCGATTCGATGTGTGCGCTGGGATCCAGCGGCGTCCGTTGGGGGGGGGGTCTTATGAAATGGGCGTGTCTTAAAAAGTGTGTTCACGCCAAAAGCGGTTTAGGGAAGCCTCGTGAATTGCAACCAAATCGGGTTTCCCTCCAACAAGAGGCAACCAAATAAGGTGGTTGGTGTCCTTTCAGGTTTCAGAACAATGTCTCACGGTTTCTCAAAATTATGCGGTTTCCAAATGCAGTCCAAAAAGAAAACGTCCCCTGAACTGAGAAACAGCAAAATTGCTGGTTGAGAATGAATGGTTTCAGCTTATATCTTTGCCCTCGAAGAACACAAGTGATGTCTGCCTCTAAAGGGTACCAACCAGTTAATTTTGATCGTAACCTAGTCGCAAAGTGGGTTTCGCCTCACAACCGCTTGACTTCAAAGGTCTGCCGCAAGCAATGCGGGCGGTTTGTTTTGACATTGGTTTTGCTTTGGGGCACAATCTCTATATTTGAAACATGTAGTGTCAGACCCCGAAGAGTCATGTGAACCTGAATAGCGTCCACTAGGTGGGTTTCATATTCTAGTTCCCACCCATTGTTTTAAGGGGACCAGAATAGCGTTCACATGTTTTTCCTGGGGCAAAATGAACCATATTTAAACCCCAATTCAACAAGTCTATTTAAACAAAAAAGCAAAACGCAATCCGGGTTTGGACCGTACCAAGTTCTGCTTGCGCTTGCAAACAACATCAAACAATGTCCCTTGAAGGCCGCAGTTTCCCTATCAAATCAGTTTCAACTGCTCCAAGTCTAGCTCCTGAAGGATGTAGTTGCTGTAGTTCCCTACCAAAACTCTAAATCTAGCTCTTGTTCCCTACCAT